CCCCCTCCCCTATTGCTCTCCCTCCACACGACTTGTGGAGCAGCGGGTTTGGAGGGCAACGTTGCTCGCGGGGTGGCGCGTGACAATCCGCCGTGTTTTGAGGCTGCTTCGACATCCATAGCGCTGCACCGTGTCACCACCTCGAGCGCCCGGCGCCCGTGCCAGGCTCCGGGGTGGCCCTCCCGTTGGAAAGGGGGGGACACATTTGTCCGCAGGCTCTAAGGGAGCTCTCCAGCGGTGCCTCCCGCTGCCGTGGCACTTGTGCAACGCTCGGCGGTGGCCACCGCGCGCCCAGCGGGGCGGTCCGGGCGCGCGGGGGGGCTGGGGCCAGGCCCCACGCGCCGGCCGCGGCAGAAGGAAGCGTGGCCACCGGCCCCTCCTCCCTGCCGCTTCCTCTCGGCTTTTATACAAACGCGAGCGCGGCCGGGCGCGGGGCGGCTGCATCGGACCTGCCGCCAGCTGAGGAGGAGGAGGCGCCGCTGGCCCGGCCCGGCTCCGCTCTGGGGAGACGCTGATGGTAACTGCGCTCGGCTCCGCGCGCCTGCCCGCCTTGCCAGGCCCTTCGCGGGGCTCGGCCTTGGCCAGAACGCGCCCCGTGCCTGTCCCCAGGCCTCTGTGTGGCCTTCAGCCTCCTCGTGCGTTCCATGGCCCCCTTCCTTGCCCGCGGTAGTGCCCGTCCCTGCTGCTCGCTCCCTTCGCTTTCCGTCCTCGCTGCGTGTCTTGGGGGCCTCGTGGAAAATCTCTTGTTGAAAGCAGGTGGCTGCTTTGGTCGGTGATTGGGAAGCAAGCTTTCCCGGGACGTGTGGGCTGTGGAGCGGCCTTTGCGACCCTCGTGGCGCTGGGCTTTGGGCGCGGGGAGACGCCTGCGCACCCCAAACTCCCCCGGGGGAAACAGCAGCCAAACGTGCAGCCACTTTGGAGAAGCAGTGCCGGCTGCGAGCTGGGGAGCCCCTGCCCCGCGCGGATTTGGGCTGCCTGGCGCGGAACAGGGCCAGCGATGCCCCGGGCGCTGCCGCGTGCCCGCAGGTGCTGCGGCCTCGCTGGGGCTCGGGGCGCTATCGGGCTGTCGCAGGATGCGGCGCTTGCACGTGCTGCCGCTGCAATAGTTTGGATCTACTTCCTGCAGCTGGAGAAGGGGCTCGGTGTCGCTTTTCCCCCTAGAGATGCTCCGGTTTAGTGCACAGTTTGGCGTTTTCAAGTGTCTCCTTTTTCCAATGCTTTTGCTAACTGCCTTTTTCCCCTTGCGAGGCTCTAACATTCCCCAGGCTGCGGTTCCCTCCTGTCGGATGCCGTCCTGGGCAAGCGTGTTGATTGGCAGCGAAGGGGAGGCCGGTGTCGCACGGGCCCCGCCGGGCGCCTCGACAGCCGGGGCCACCTGGGAGGGCGCTCGCTTGGGCGCCGGGCTCTGCTCGCCCCGATGGCGCCTCCCGGGGCGGTTCTGGTCCCCGCAGCTGGCGGGACTTGCCCTTGGCGCGGGACCCGCTTTGAGTAGATGCGTGCTCACGGCTCGGGTCCGTGGACGTGCAATACAGCTCGCTCAAAGGCGGGTTTGGAGGCTGGAGGCCATACAAAGCCAGCCTGTGTGTGGAGCCTGTACGCAGGCTCTCTGGTGCTTCTCGCCGCCCGCGCCACGCTGCTCCGCGGTCGGTGGCCCTCGGCCCGCCCCGTCACCTGGCCACGGGAGCCACACCATGTGGGGCCCATGTCCCAGTTGCCTCTTCGTGCCCGGGCAGATGTGGGTGGCTCCGTCTGCCTCCATAGGGCCGTTTGTTGTGGAAACTGTTTTGGCAGGAGCCGGGTGACACATAAATGCAAATGCTGAGAGGAAACTTAAAGGAGGAAATCTGAATGCTCTCGCAGGACCATTTTCAAGAGCCAAGTGCAAGTTTTCCTTTGGTGTGTTTAAACTGCTCCCAGAGAAGTGACTAATGATGTTTACAAGAGCACTTGTGAAGCCGAGGACTGAATTTCCACTGCTCCTCCGTGCTGCGTTCCCCGGCAGCCGTTGCTGTGCGGAGCCCGCAGCTCGGCGGCTGCCGCTGCCCCTCGAGTCCGCGGTACGTGGCCGTGGCGCTGTGCGGGCAGCGTGCGAGCCCGGGCTGCTCTTGCAAAATAGCCCCCGTCCTGAGTAAATACTGCCAGGCTTCAGGCACTGACTCACAGCAGTAATAGGATTATTAAATGCATGACTGGACATATTTATTTACCTGTTGCTGGAGACGGGATTAGGTCCCTCCCCGCAGCCTCCCCTCTCCTTGGCTCGGAGGGATGGGTGTCCCGCTCCGGCAGCCCCAGCAGGGCTGGGGTGCTTCCCAGCCGACAAGAACTCGGGCCGCTCCGTTTCCCTTGTGTGGAGCCCGGGCTCCTGTCCCGGCCGCAGTCGGGGACAGGGACATGGGGAGCACAGGCAGCACCCAGCGGCTTCCTGTGTGCAGGCAGCAGCAGCTGCGCAGTGCGTTAAGTTGCACAACTGCCTCTGCAGGGAAGTATTTGCGCCCGCTCCTTCTTTCCTGCCAGCCACAACCCCGTGCCATAAAATCCCGTAACTTCCCCCGACGTTTCCTCAGGCCTGTCTGAACCGGTGTTGTTTTTGGCCTGAGAAAGGTTAACCGGGGGTTTCAGGAGAAGCCGCATGCTCTGCTGCGGATGTCGAGCCGGTCCCCAGGCCAAACGCAGCGCTCCCTCCGCGCGGGGCCGACAGCCGCGGCCCCAGGGGATCATCCAGGGATTGGCCGGGAGTCCGGCCTGAGCTTTCGGGAATGGCCCCTGGCTGGTCGCCCCCATGTGCGGTGCAGAGTGCACATGAGGCAAAACTGGTGCGATGGGTACGAGGCAAGTGGGAGCCCACTGTGCATGGGGGTCCCGCACCGGCCTCCCCGGTGGCAGCCTTTGTCCCGCCTGCCCCGCGCCCTCTCCAGGGCTGCTTGCGGGATCTCATCCATCCAGTTCGGCTCTGGGCACAGCCAAATCCTGCGCTGCGCTCCCTGGCCCTGCTCGCGGGGCCGGCGGCAGCAGGGAGCCCTTGGCCCCAGTGAGTTTCCAGGCGGGCAGATGGGCGCCCATGGGCGCTGGGCTCGACGTGCCCGAGTGTTGTGCGGCTCTGAGGCTCGGGAAGCGCCCAGGCGGAGCGAGGAGGTGGCCGGCGGCTTCTCCCCGTGCCTGTGACCCTATGTGCATTTCCACCAGGCACCCTGGGGTGCTGGGCGCTCATGGACGCGCTCGTGAGTCAGGCCCCGCTGTGGGAAGCCAAACCCTCGCCCGAGCACGAAATCTAGTGCCGGGCATGGCTGCCGCTTCCTGCCGTGCCGGGCGCGGTACCAGAAACCCTTCCGGGAGCTCCTCCTCGGCAGCGGCTCTGGGGACGCTGGGCTCGCTTTGCGGGTGCCGGAGGAGGGCGGCTCTGACGGCACAGCCTGCCCGGGTGCTGCTCGCGGCCGGGCAGCGTCACTGCCGTTAACCACCGCTTGCGTCAGTGCTCGCCGTCCGGAGGCGGCGGGAATGCCCTGCCGCGGGGACATGGTGCCGCCTGCGCGCCCAGCCGGGCGCAGAGCTGTCACACAGCCACGCGCCGCGTCCCCTTGGGGCTGATCCCGGCCTGCATGCGCGCTGTGTCCCATGGCACTTCCCTGCCAGGTCCATCCCTTCCCCGCTGGAGTGGCCCCTCTCCTCTCCTTGCTCCCAGCCCTGCGCTTGCCCGTCCCCTTTCCTCACAGCTGGTCCCCTGTGCCCGGCCTTTCCTCTGTGGCCCCGGGGCCTCGCTCCGGCCGCACGGGAAGCAGACAGAGCCGGGAAGACCTTTGGTGCTGCAGGTACCGGGGCATCTTGTGCGGGCAGGCCGTGTCCTGGAAGCAGCGAGTCCCTCCGCAGCACTTCTGTGCCCGTGTCCCCAGCCCGCTGCTCTTAGCGCCATAGGACGAGGGTGCTGGGGGCTGCTTGCGTTTGGTCTGCTGCTGATGGTCTGGCTCTGGACCTGGCTCTGGATGGTCTCTCTCTCTGATGGAGAGACAAATGCTCAATCCTGGCTCAGCACTTAGGATTTTGTACATTTGTTGCATCTTCCTGTGCTGAAGGCTCCGGTTGCCGAGTTGCTCTGTGCCCAGTGGCCAGTGCTCAGCCCCGGGCCTGCAGTGCCGTTTCTAGTTCTGCTTTCACCTTCCTCATACGAGGCCTGCGAACTGCACACGCAAGTCAATATTTGGATAAATGCGGCGTTTATGTAGTGGCAGGCTACTGTTTTACGTTTCATTTTCGGTTCTGTTCGAGTCGCTCCCGCCGCAGGTTTAGCTCGTTGGCAGCTGCGTGGGGCCCAGCTGCCTCTGCTCGCGCGTCTGCCTGCCTCCTGCCTGGGCCAGGGCCGCTTTGAGCCCTCGCTCTGCGTGCAAAGCCAGGCCTGTCTTCTCTCCTAGGCACCGCTTTGTTTATTCACAGCAGGTTTCACCTGGCACTGTGTTGCCCGGCCCCTCCTGCGTTTGTTCACGCTCTGCCCTCGCCCTTCCTGGCCCCAGGAGCTTCGCATGGACACAAGGCGCCTCCTGTGGCAGCCCGGCCCGGCTCCTTGCTGACCTGCTCGCCCGGGTGTCTTTGTGGTGCCGGGGCTCCAGGGTGCTCCTCCGCTGCGCGTCTCCTGCGTGTGTCCGGAGCGAGTCGGCCAAGTTCAGGGTTTGAAACCTGTAGCACCTGTGATGGGAGCCGGGATCTCAGTTACACCCGTTTACCCCTTGCCGCTCCCAGGAACTCTTGTCTGCTTAAAATACCTTTTAAAAAGTTAGCTTCGCTCTGAAGGTCTCTGCCACCCTGCCTCCGGTGACGGCTCTGGATAATCCTTCTGCCTATAGGAGTGATGGGGGACCTTTCCAATTTGGCTGCAGAATTGTTTCAGCCTTTTGTGGCTGAAGGTTGAGTAGACTAGTCCTTATACTCTCTGATCAGCGACTTGCTGATCTAACAAGGGGTTTATCTCACGTTTTCTTTTGTTGTTTGTTTGTTTTCAGAGAGAAGAGAATGTGAACGGGCTCTAAGAAGAAACACGATGGATGGAGAGCTGCCCTGTGCTGAGGTGGATGGAGAACTGCCCCCTGGCCCTGAGGATGCAGGAGGGGAGGTGGCCTGTGCCACGAGCCACGAGCAAGGAGAGGTGGCCTGTGCCATGAGTCACGCGGAAGGGGAGGCGCCCAGTGTGGCGAGCAAGGAGGAAGGAGAGGTGCCCTGTGCCAAACATGGTCCTGAAGGAGAGCTGCCCCACGCCGGGAGTGACGCAAAGGAAAAGGCACCTTGTCCTGAGAGCGACAGGGAAGGAGAGACACCCAGTACTGAGAGCGATACTGAAGGGGAGACGCCCAGTGCTGAGAGTGATGCCAAAGAAGAGGCACCTCGCGCAGACACTCTTAGTGCTCTGAAGAAAATCTCCTCCATTTCTTCTCCCTTGCGGGCAATCATCCGCATTCGGCGACAAATCCGGAAGCAAAAGAAAAGCCGTCTGCGTTTAGAGCTCCCCAGGGAAAAGTCTTCAGAGCTGGTGCAAACAAGGCTGCTTCAAAGGCAGGTTTCCATGAACCGAACCAGCCTGTATGGCTCTTCCACGTCCTTCTTTAATCAGAGCAGCTTTGAAAATTCACGGTACTTCACCTTTGATACGTCTGCGGACCATTATGCTATGAGTAAATGCAGGCGGAAGAAGAAACGTAGGAAGTCTAGAATAGTCCTGTATCCGGATAAAACAAAAAGGTATCTTCCAACAGAGGAGAAGAGCAATGCAAAACGCTGCCTTCTGCTGCTTATTGTCATTATCTTCTTCCAGATTCTAAATGCTATTGAGAACTTGGACGATAACCTCCAAAAATATGACCTAGATGGTTTGGAGAAAACGATGCACCGGGAAGTATTTGGACAAAATGCTGCTGTAGAAAGTATTATGGAATTGCTGAAAGACTATCTGGCTACCCACATACACAACAAGCCTCTGATTATCTCTCTAAACGGTCCGGGAGGAGTTGGGAAGAGCCACGTTGGCTGGCTGTTGGCCAAACATTTTCGTTCTGTCATGGACAATGACTTTGTGCTTCAGTACTTTGTGATGCATCACTGTCCAAGTGGGGTAAGTGAACTTACTTGCCAAATAGATTTGTCTGAGAAGATCTCTGACATGGTTACGAGAGCTGAGATAGAAGAGAAGATCCCACTATTTATTCTGGATGAGGTTGAACTCATGTCTCCGGTCCTGCTGGATACTCTCAGCCGATTCTTCGAACCCAATCAAACCAATGAGTTCCTCAATGCCATCTACATTTTAATAAGCAACATAGGGGGTAATGAAATAACAAAGTTTGTTATCCAGAATGCGTCCACTGAGCTTCTGCATCAGCAAAGGGGAGTTGAAGAACTGCTGAAGATCATCCAGCCTTTACTGATCCAAGCCCACCCGCTTTGGAAGTCTGCGGACATTGTCCCGTTTGTTCTTCTAGAGAAGAGTCACGTCATAAATTGCTTTCTAGAGGAGATGAGGAGGGAAGGGCTGTATCCTGACCAGAACCATATTGAAAATTTAGCCAGTCAGCTCAGTTACTACACTACGGGGGACAAGCAGTACTCCACAACGGGCTGCAAGCAGGTTGTGGCCAAAGTCAATTTACTCTAGTGGTTTATTGCAGAGAGTAAATCCAGCTCTCGGGATTAGCAGAATTCTTAGAGACGAGTACATGATAGCAGACTGTGGCCGTGGTTGGGCCAGTTCTAGTTCCGTCCCAGTGCACGCTCTGTTGGAGGAGCGTTGGAGGTGATGAGACAGCAGCCCTGACTCCAGCGGGTGAGCTCTCTTCTCTTCCAGATGCATCACTCATTCCTAATGCTCTGTGAATGAGGCTTGGTCAGGGAAGTCCAAGCAACCTCCCTTCATTTGGGGTTATTTTGTCTGTTCCTTACATACTTGTTTGGAATATTTGCTATGGAAGATCAGTGGGATGAAAACAGATACTGTAGGATAATATAAATAGAAGGAGGAAGTAGTAACAGGTTTGGGTTTACTGTCTCTGTAGTACACAGAGCCTTGTACAATTCCTTCCGGAGCCTCACTTTACAAACTCCTTTACTTATGATCATCCTGGCTGGTCTTGTGCAAAGTGGGTGGCTCTGCAGAGCAGAGGCAATGCTGACAGCCCAGGGGACAGCGGGGAGCCTGGGAACTATCTGTGGCTTTTTTTGTCACGCAGTCAGTGCTCTGCATCCTCCGGTTCCTATGTGACCACAGTCTTGTGAAACTCTTGTGTGTCCTCGGATTAGTTCCTAAGTTGTAGCTCTTCTGAGCTCATACCTTAGCTCACCTTTGGCACCTCCCGCGAGATTCCTGCTGCGCAGGTGGGTTTGGGCTTGCCTGGAGCACTGCTCGGCTGTGCCAGCTCGTGCACAAATAACCGCCAGATTGTTTAGGGTCTGGTGGGGGCAACTTGTCCTAGGAGCTCTTCTGCTTTTTGCTTCTGGGTACACTTCACCACATTCATTATCTAGACAGCCCGAAATAGCAACTAACAGATATCGAGCAATGCACGCTGGAAAAGACGCCTTGGGCTGTCTGTGCCAAGCGCAGCAGGAATCCTGGGCTTATTCCCAGGCCTGTAAGGACAAAAAAGGTTCTTTAGAATCAAAAACCATGTTGCTGAGAAGCACCTTTTGAAAGAGCACGTACCCGTGTTTTGAGCAGTTATTTATGACATTGCTTTTTCAGGTTGGGGTCTTGTGCCTAGATCCCCTTGTACCGTTTGCTGTGAACTGCCATATATGTAATCCCGTGGATGTTTGTGCTGGTTGTTTGATTTGCCTCTTTCCAATAATGAGTTTCCAAAGACTTCTGTCACAAAATCCTGCTTCCAGAACTGTTATCGTGAGGAGTAATTCCTACAAACAAATAAAATCTTTCCAAGTACGTTTCTTCCAGTTGTGGATTTCCTCCTGCGATTCTCAGTTGCAGCACCGCGTCTCAAGGTAGGAGCGAGGCCTAGAGCTTTGCTGTGTGTTTCTGTGAGACTGCATCACTGTGGCATGGGCACGGTGTGAAGGGCAAAGCCCCTTGGCTTGTTCAGCCGCTTCGTGCTCCCCCACCATAAAGACTTCCCTGTGAACTTGCTGGCGGATGTCAGGACGGGAGTTTTCCTTATTTCTCCCTAAGGCCTGTATCTCTGAAAGTAAACATAGCCATTGTATGATATCTTGTCCCAGATGGGCAAGTGAAATCTGTATTTTTTGAGTAGGCCAGAGGTCTGCACTGTGTTTCCTCCCTGGAGAGCACTACAGCATTTTCAGGAATCGTGTCTGGTGGACAGGACCAGGTAGATCCCTGTCTGGGAATGGGGCACAGGGAAGGGTTTGCTGCTCGCTCAGTGGGACTTGGCTGTGCCCGAGCCCGGTCAGGTTGCAGGAGGAGGAGTGTGTCAGGTTGCGGGAGGAAGAGTGCGCTCGTGTTATTGGAACAAACACCACAGTGTCGTTGCAGGAGGAACACCGTGCTGTTGTTCAGGAGGAACACCATGCTGTTGTTCAGGAGGAACACCGCGCTGTAGTTACAGGAGGAACACCACCGCAGGGTTGTTGCAGGAGGAGCACCGCGCTACGTGCAGCCCGAGCGCAGCAAGTGCTTTTTTTGTAGCTCCCCCAGGGGAAACACAGAGCCATTCCAAATATGTCTATAGTGAGGATGAGCTAACAGCTCCTCTGCTAATGATGGCACGGGGCTGGGAGTGATGGAGGTGGATAAAAATAAGAATGATGTAACCGCGCCTCGCAGAGCATGGAAATGCTGCGCAGACCCAGCAGCGGGGCAGGAGGCGGCCTGCCTTGCGTCACTGAGGTGATGTCTAGACCCACGGGCAGCCCTAGGGACCCCAGCTGGGTGGCAGGAGCCACCCTGGGAGACGGCGGGAGCCGTGGAGCTGGCGGGAGGGCAGAGCCAGGCCCCGGCTAGGCAGGAGAGGCCACTGCGTGTGAGCAGCCCGGCTGCGGTGGTTCCGCTGGGCTGCCACGCAGCCGAGGTGCTGCGAGTCCCGCCACGGGCCGGCTGCCACGTGCCCTCCTTCACCCAGCGAGGCCCTGGCGCCTGCTGAGCGTCCCGCGGGTCTCCGGGTCACCGGCTGCGCCCACGGCACCTGGAGCCGCTGACGTCCTGCCCCGGGCACCGGGGCTGGGCCCTGCGCTCCGCTCAGCCCCAGCGGGCGCCTCTGAGGCCGAGCGTGGTCCCCAATACTTGGGCAGGGAGCGAGGGGCAGCGCTGGAGGCTGCAGGTCCCTCTGGCTGAGCCGTGGCACTGAGGCCGCCCTGAGCGCTGCCTTGTGTGCTGGGAGGGACAGGGTGCCCGGCGGCGGCTGCCAGGGCCACGGGCACCCGGCGTGGGGCTCAGCCCGGGCCCGGCTGTCCGTGCCTCTCCCCGAGCCCTGCCGAGGCCCAGCCTTCTCCCAGCTCGCTCCACGAGGAGGAGGTTCTTTGCACGCTCCTAGCAAGGAGCCGAGCAGGAGGGGCTGCGTTCAGCCACGCGCGGCTCCCTGAACCAGCTTGCAGAGGTGGAAACGCTGGCGGACACGGCAGGCCCGGCTGTGCGGGCGGCAGCCCTGCCCGGCCCTGCTTTCCCCACGGGCGCTTGCTGAGTGGCTGCTCGCCAGTGTGCACGGTGGCCATGCCGCGGCCTGCGAGCTCCCGCGCGGCCCCGCGGCCCCCGGGCACCGTCTCTGCATTCAGCAACGCGCAAGGAAGGTGGTTCTTCATGGCGGGGAAGGAAAGCTCGTGGTGACCAGCCCAAAGCCCAGCACTTCACCACTTTCTTTTCGCCTTTAGTCTTCACTAAATGGATTGGCAATTTTAACATCAGTGGCAGCGGGGGCAGAACGTGGGTTGGAGCAGTGGAGACCAGATGAAGGACAGCTCGGTGCATTAGAGCTTCCCAGTGCCTTGGGAGGGAAGACATTCCCCTGAGAGCGCAGCAGAAACCCGCAGCATCTGGCGCAGCTGGGGATGGCATTTGAGCCCATGCAGATCTGGGGTGAGCCCCGAGAGGCTGGGGGAGGCCGAGCAGCAGCTCTCCTTGGAAAGGGGATGGGGCACAGGGAAGCCTCACATTCCTGAGGAAGCACAGGAGCAGATATATTACCTGTGAGCATGTAGAAGGGAAGGAAGAATAGCATGTAGCATCATTTTCAAAGTGTATTTGTGTCCATAGAGTCTAATTTTGTCTTTGGCCAGGACAAGCTCCTCAAAGACCAGCTGCTGAGTGCTGCTGAGCACTCTGCAGGGATGCAGGGAGGAGTTTTCCCAGGGTCTGTCCCCAGAGGGATCCTGTTTGACGCTGTCATGAGCGACAGGGAGGCCGGAGCTGGCAGCTGTTGGGAGGGGACAGCGAGCCAGGAAGCTCACAAAGCATCTCGGAAATCGGGCTTGGAGTTTAAAGCATTTCATCCAAATGAGAAATGCTCCGGAGCGAGCAAATGAGGAGAGCAGAGGGCTGGAAGGAGAACAGGGAGAGGGAGGTGGCAGCTCTCCCGCGAGCTGCCACGCGAGGAATAACACCGCGGCACTGCGAGAAAGGCAGCCGTGCCATTGAAATGTATAAATAGGTGTGTTGCATATAGAAGGAATGAAGTAATGCGGGCCGCCGTGCCTGCCGAGGCCATATTTGGGCAGCGGGCTGGGGAGGAGCGTGGTGCTGTGCGGAGCCGGCCGGCGAGGCGGCAGCCCGCGGCCCGCGCCACTGAAACGGGATATGGGATTTCGTACGTGCCGAAGGCCGGGAGGAAGCAGGAAAGGCGCGCGGCTTGCCAGGCCGGGCACCGAGTCAACTGCAGGCACTGAGATGTAGGTTAAGCTTTAGGGTGGTAGGTGTAACAGGGAAGCGCTAGACCCGGCTGAGCACAGCAGCTGCACTTGTCCCCGCTGAACCTGGGGACGCAGGAGAGGCTACAGGGAGCCCTGGGCTCGGCCCGCTGCCCTCGAGGCTGCTCGCTCCCTGTGAGCCCTTGGTGCCCATCAGTGGCAGTTCAGCTGCTGCTTATTCTATGAACCCAGCTCATGCCAATTTAACGTTACCTCCTGTAAGGAAAGTTAGTCCAGTGTCTCATGAGAGAAACCTCTCTCACTGGGAGACACCAGCAGAGCTGTGGAGCCTGGTCTGGAAACCGCTCAAACGAGGCCATTTGCCTCGTTTTGCTGCTCCTCTGCAATTGTGTTTGTTGGGCAGTTCTCCTTGAGGCACGTAGCAGGAAAGCACGTGCCCCAAACCCCTCTCCTAATCTGATCCTGCTTCAGGATCGCTTGGACAAGATTAGGGAAAACTTCTCTAATGTTATTCCCTGCTGTTCAGTATCTGCACAGTGTGACTTTGCAGAGAGCTGAGGCAGCGCTGCCCAGGCGGCAGCGCTGCCCTGTCTGGGTGCCTGGCTCTAGGGGCAGAGTTTCCATCTGTGCGCATGTGCCTGGGACAGCACACTGTTAACTCCTCTGCAGTTCCCAAAACAGGGTGATTTTGCAGGTGGGATGAACTAGGAGGAAAGGGAATAAGTCAGCGTGGAAACTAGTCATATGATTAACTCTCTGTTGTACTCTGATCTAGAACCCTTTTCACTTCCCCTAGACACTTTTATCGGTTCCATTGTTTCACTAGCACCTGGATAGGATATTAGGATATTACTGCTCACACCTGGAGCGACGTGCAGGGGTTTGTGGCTCTCTGCCAGGAAGGCCTGCGGAAGGGGCAGGTTTCCCACCCTTGCCTGGATCCTCTCCTGCTGCCGCGCGGGACCCGCAGCTGCTTCTGCTCCTCGGCCGACACGGGCCCTCGCCGAGGCCGCGCGGGCTCCTCGCGGGAGCGGTGCCCTCCGCGTTCTGCAGTGCTGCTATTCCGGGGTATGGACACTGAGTGTCCTGAGCTGGTCTGTCAGCTGCTCCCCCAGGCTGGATTCAGCGGTGCTAATTTGGGCCTGGGATTCCCCCAGGGCAGAGCCGTGGGCAGAGGCTGCCAGGGAGCCGGGCGTGGGGAAGCAGCGCCAGGAAGGGCTCCAAGCCCCGGCGTGCACTCCAGGCTCCCGCGGGACGGCTCGTGTCTTGTGGGCCCTGCGCACGCGCAGCTGGTGCGGCTCCCTGCGCCAGCCTTGTCCCCTGCAGCGCCCGGGTCACCCTCTCCCAGGTGCCCGGCAGTGGCTACGCAGCCTTGGTCGTGTGTCATCGCCAAGGCTGACCACCAAGGCAAGGCTGCCAATGGGGGCTGCCCACCTCTTCCCTCTGTCTTGCCCAATGACCTGTGAATAGTCCTCAGGGGTGCTGGAGACACTTGGCCAACCTTGGATCTCTTAGACCTTGAAATTGTCCATGGTCCTGCTGTGTCCCAGGATCTTTGCTAGCGGAAGCCAGGAGATACCTACAGCTCTTCCTCACCAGTGTCAGCCCCTGTGAAATATATTGAAGGCTTGGAGTGGGTTGATGAAACACAGTTCTTTGGGTCTAGTTCAACAATTTATTTTTCCTCTCCTTGCACCTGGGGGGCAGGAAGATCTGATGCTGATTCATTCATCTTATTTGAGGCAAATCCATTGACCTGCTTTGACAAGCTCACCTGGGACTTGCAAATACATCCCTGCATAAACATAATAAGTTCATGGGTAATGATGACTGTCAATAAGAAAAGGGTTTGTCTGTACAAGTAAATGCCCCCGTTCTTGGGGATCATTTTGAGGCTGGGTTATTATTCAGTCCTGGTGAGATGCACTAGATACACAAGATGTGAAACTTTGGACAGTTAACACAGGGTGACGCTGTTGGTACCA